TCAGAAATTATATTTTCCACAGGGAATCCATCAGATGGTGTGTTTTTTTAATAGTGTTCAAATCATATCAGAGGGCATATTTTCTTTATTAAAAATTTTGGATGCAGAGGCAGTAGATATAATTCGCGCTGTTTAAATTCAACTACTTCTAATTCTAATAGTGATAAAAACATAATAATACAACAAAACATAACAGGGCATCTACTCGAACACAGGTATCCCCTAAAATGTAATGTTTAAAGTAATAAGAAACATTTTGCAATAAAGTTTTAACTTTATAATTTTCTCACTCTGTCATTTTATTTTCTATCAAATCACTTCCAATTTATAGAATTTATATTAGAATTATTATTATCATGCTTAAGCTTTATTATTATTATCATAATCTTATCACTGTGGCTAACAATGCAGATATGTCAAGGATTCTTCTCTGCCTATTCCTGCTATTTTCTTATGGTAATTAATGGAAATGATTAATTAGAAGGTAATAGCATCAGTGTTCTCCTTTGAACAGGCTTATTATACTTAATTAAAATTACCAAAAAACCAATGACTCAATATTATTAAGTTGCAAACTGAACTGGTCTGTAAGTTTAAGCATTTAATAATTTTTTGCTAATGCAAACCAGTGCCTTTTTTCTTTTTGCTGTGTTATGGTAACAGACCTAGAAATCCTATCATAATATAGTTTATTTATTTTTGACTAGTATTTCTTTAGTTTTTATTTTTGTTATATGTTTACTCTTTGTAATTACATACATAATAACCTTGTCTGAATTTTGTTTTAAATGACACATTATCATCTATTAATTTTTGTTTAAGTCATCTTTTCTCTTATTTCTTTTGGTAGTTTACACTCTATGGTAATAGACGTAATAGTCTTAAATTATTGTAATCTTTCATTTTTAAAGTTGAATTAAACCTGTCAAGTGAGTTTATTGTAATTTAGATAGCCATCATAATTTGCATAATATGCATTCTCTGGTAATTGGTCTGTGGGAATGCAGGGAGTGAGGAGGTGAAAATGTGCAATGGTCTGCAGGTAGTTTTTTTTTTTTTTTCTCTCTCCCTGGAAAGATTAAAGGAAGACAAAAACCTTTTATCTAATTCATAAAAGAGGATATCATTAAACAATCTTTATCTTTCCCTTCTTCCTCTCTTCATTTGTCCTCTTTCCTCTACTTGCCTTTATTTTTCTTTCTACTCTCCACCCCCAATTTTTTTTCTTAACCAAAATTAAGGTTATCTAAAATAAACGTTGCTGATAAAATTCTGTTTTTCTTGTACAGGTCAATTAAGTAAAATTATTTCAGGTTTTAATTCTTGTATTTAAAATGGCTTTGACACTACTTGGTCTCCATTGGGCAATGTACCGTATTGGTGCATTTCAAAAATATAGTTATTGAGATATATATATATATATATATATATATATATGAATTATCCTAATGATCCAGTAGGTGAAATATGGGTATTTAGGTTCTGACTCTTTAAATATTCTAATTTTGATCTACTAAGTGTATTGAGCACTTTTACATATGATTATCATTTAAATTATTAAACTGTGAAGTAGTGTTATTGTCAAAGTATTTTTCCAAAAAAAATCAGCTTATTCAAATTTCATCAATTGCTTTTCAAAATTGAACAAAACATAGTTTGTAAATCTTGACAAATAAATGTTAGCTATAACTTCAACGATACTAAACATTGTGAAGAATTCTACACTTGTCAGTGTGTTGCAAAAAAAAAAAAAATCTATTGTTTAAGAAATCTGTTCTTAGAAATTAGATAGAAAATTCTGTTCCGGTTCCTTTTCCAAGGATTTCAATTCTGTTTGTCATTTACTGGTTATAGTGTTGTTGCCTTGAGGCTTCACAGGTCTATATACACTGTCATTGAGCAGTGACTGAGATAAGTCCCTTGTCAGCATCACATATGTCATAAATAAAATATAAAGCTGTCTGTGATAAAAGTTTAGATTATTTAAGTAGATGTATGGTCGTGTCATCTTCTTTTTAATGTGTAATGGGAGGAAAAACAAAAACTCCTACACTGTGCGATTTCTTTTTAGTGTGTAATCGAATGACAAAATAAAATACATTTGTCCATCAAAAGGACTTCTTATAGCTAATTGTTTTAGCAATATTTTTTCTTTTTTTTTTTATAGGAACGGGCTGATATTACTAGTTTCTTGGATTTATTAAATAATTATAGTTTTCCATGTCAGCAACTTAGAAGTTTGAATGACAAAAGGGTGGGAAAAACTTTTACCTTGAAAAAAATTTAATATTGAGGTTAATATTTTTTTTTTTTTTATCTCATTGCTTTTTAAAGTATTTGTAACAAATAGTATAATAAGTTTAGTTAAAATCTTTTCTATTGTACATTCAAATTTTTGCCAGGTTAGTTACATTCACTTACTTCCTTATATACTTTTGGGAGAGGTATGGAGCTAGTTTCTCCAGCTATGGGTTAAATGGTAGGATTTATATCTGGAAAAAAAATCATTGTTGTTAATGCAATATTAATTTAAAAAATAAAATACAATCCAAGATGTTTCAGCTTTAAATAACCACTTCACCTGAGGACTACTAACAGCAGCAATAACTTGAAGAGAAAATAGTGACATAATCAAAATGTTGACATTCCACACCACTTCAAACAAAAGGTTAGGAAGGAAACCGTCATCAATACTGGAAAGAGCAATAACAGCTATTGGATGTGAGAAACCTATTTTCTGGAAAAAATGTTTTAAGAGAAAGATTTTATAAATTTCAACTAATCACAGTACTAGCTGCTAAGTCAATGAATGAGGTCAAATGTTTCCTTTTAGGGAATAATAGCATTACTATTATGATAATTTATATTCTTTTCTTTTCTAGGTATATGAATTTAGTAAGCTTTATACCTAGCATTATATATAAAATAATTAGGATATTAGATGAGTTTAAAAATATTTACAGTGTAGTTCTCTACATATCAATATTGATTCTAAATATTCTTTAAATACAAATAAAAATTCTAAGTAATTTTAAGTTCTTTCAAATTTTCCATTTCTCTTTAGGTTTTAATATTTTTTTTTTTTTAAGTATGGGGATGGGAGTTCTTGCAAGGTTCTTAGGCCTTACCAATTCTGATGATCGGTCCCTATTTTGCGAAGTAGATTAGGCTGGGAAATTATAGCCACACATTGAATGTGATTGTGGCACATCCCTGATTATGAGTAAGTGCGCATATCATGGCATTTGTCAAAATTCTATTCTTAATTATTTTCAACACAGATCCTAAACATGTCCAATTATAATGAGGTGATTGCATTTTATATGATGAGTTAATCTCTCATTTATTGATTGACCACTTCAGCAGGAATGAATAGTAACTGATATCACAGGTACAAAATATCACAATAATCAACAGATATCCCATATCAGCCAAACAATTGAACAACTGATGATGACCAGAGGGTACTTGTTCGAAATGTCTGTAATATCAACCAAAATGGGAACAGTATGTTGAAATAATAAAAGATAATGGCAACATTGTTATTATTTAATATGTATATTATTATTATTATTATTAATTTCATGGAGCATTTTTATATATGTCCTATGATTTTTTTTATTACTATAAATGTTATATTTAGTGGATACATGTATTTGAGTAAATATTCCTGTTTTTTTAAAATGGTCAAATTAATGTCTACTGGCCTAGAAATCAAGAGTCCTACTAAAGAAAATGTACCTCCCAACAGGAAACAAATGAGTATTCTCTTTTTCCATCAGTAGAACTCTCAATCTCTAAGCCAATAGACATTAATTTCACAGGCTAGTCACTAAAGAAACACATGGTCAGTCTTGTGTTACAATATTATGCTGTTTCTGTTAACTAATTCTGAATGGTTTTTCATCAATTGTTGTTTTCAGTTGGTTTAATTAGTAACAGTACTTGTTCAAATCAGTTGTTTGTTTTTCTGCAAGTAACGCATCATAGAAAATTCCTTTCCCATCTTGTCATATTCACAGCACGACTTTGTTAGTAGAAGGACTGTCAGCACTTTGATAGTCCTCGTACTATCACCACTTTGTTAGTACAGACTTTATGGCTAGTAGCAGGTCATTTCGCTTCCTTGTGATTGTTTTTAATGTAATATAACATAGATTTCACTTATCATCATTCATCATTTTATTCAGTTAGCACATATTGCACTTCTTTGGTCTTACAATTGTGGTTAATGGTGACATTCAAGACAGAATAGTGCAATGGCTTGCCAGTTCCTTTTGCACCGTGGATGTTGAGGTTACACTGTACCTGCTGTGTACAAGGTGGATTTGTTTTTGAAGTTACCTTCTTCTAGCCTTTGCCTAAATAGGCAAAACCTACAAGGCAGCAGTTGGTTTGAATTCAGAGTTTCATTCTTCTAGACTGGTTATTATCCAATCTGTCCTGCTATTTAACCCATAGCTCAGGGATGCAGATGGATTCATACCTTTTAGATTAGCATGTAAGTGAATGTAATGAACTCAACTGCAATTTGAACTCAACTCTCCAATTTCTCAATTCAAGCCACTAACCATTACTCCACTGTGCCTCCATAATGTAAAAATATTTTCTGCTAAATAAACTTCAAATAACTCTATTTATATATGTCTTATATAATAAAGTTGTTAAAGATTTTAATCCATGAGGAAATGTTTTGTTTTTGCAAATAAGAAAATGCATGACAAATAAGTATTTACGCTCTTTTTTATTTTTTTTTAAATATGTATAAGATCTCGCTCATTCACTTATCATTTTAATTAAATTTCTTTGAGCTTTTTTCTTTTTTTTTTTTTTTTTTTCTTATAAGATTGTGAACTTTGTTTCTATTGCTCTAGGAAGGAAACCTTTTTTTCAGTAATCAACCCCCCCTCCCCATTTTTCTGAGATTGTTTATGCTTATATTGAACCAGTGATTCTAGCAGAATTTTTTAAAATATATCATTGCATATTATTCATTGCAGATCAGTGAAGAAGTTGCCAAACTCTTGGAATTAAAAGCCAAACTTGGTGATGATGCGGCACCAAAGAAATTCATTCTCAAGACAGGGAAGGTAAGTTTGTATCACCTACATATATATAAAATGCTAACATTAACATTGTTATTTAAATTTTTGTATAAATTGTTTCTTTATGAAATATAAGAATACTTGTTGAAAAATAAAATCCTTACATTTGCCTTAAAGTTCATTCATTGTAAGGCAAAATATATTGGCTAAGATTAATTTTTGTTTGTTTTTCCTTTATTTTATATATATATATATATATATATATATATATATATATAATTATTTTAATTTAAAGAAAAACAGACCACTTTAAGTCTCCATTTGTAATGATTTATTTCACCAGAGAATTTTATTTTTCTCTGGATCTCAAGACTTCACTTTCAAAAGGTGAAAAGAAAAATGAATTTAAAATTTACACTTTTGACAGGTAGTATTAAGCTTATATAATTTGACATAGAAGGTGATGAGGAATAGTGTGAGAGACATGGTCGTGTTTAGAGAGGGAAGGGAGAGTTTTAAAATTTATTTTTATATTTCTTTTTATTATAATACTTAATATTGAGGAAGGAGGGGGGTAAGGATCCGACATTGGCCTATTTAATCGGTCAACTGAACGGAAATGATATGGGGGGGGGAGGAAAAAGAGGGAAGTAAAGAGATAAGAGATGTACGTAGAGTTTTTGGAGGAAGGAGAGGGGTGGTATAGCTTTAGCAATTTAGAAAAAATATATATATATATATATATACACACACACACACACACACACAATGTATGAAGAGAGGGAGCATGAGAAAATTCTTTCTTTTTCTATAGAAAGAGATTACTTAGATAAAAAGAAAAGTGAAATATTGGTTGAATAGTCATGTTTCCATAAACTTGATCAGTTGCCAAATTTATTCAGATGAATATAAAAAAAATTCACACTGACCAGATTTGTGAGCCTTTTTTTTTTTTGCAGGCCTGATATACATCTTTACCGACCTGTACAAACCAACCTCTTCTGACAACATTGACAAAATAATTGGATGAAGTGCACTAGAACATTACGTTTTTGATGATTCACCTGCTTACAATGTTGACATTATTTCTTTTCCACTCACTTCTCACATTTTATTTGCTTAAACCTTAGATTGAACCACAAAAAAATCAACTTCTACCTGAACTGGCAACTCGTTTAATTTATTTTGTGCAGGATTTAGGAAAAAATGCTCTCCTGTGAGCAGGTGTCAAACCTAATAATCAGTGACAACAATATCCAGTTATATCTATGTAATAAATATAAATGTCACTGTGTCACACTTTTTCAACTTTACTTTTCGGGGCTATAGCCCAACATATACTATTCTGGAATCAGGCTGACTCCATGAGCAAATTAAAAACATTCCAGGCTGGATATAGACCTGCAACCATGAAATTTTGTATTCCTAACTTTTCATTATTGTGATTGTTTTCAGTGATTTTATTTCATTTTTGTTTTTTTGTATTCTAACAATTTTTATAACTTGGAAATAAATTTGGGAGTTCCAAAATCCAGTGAAAGTCACCCATGGAATAAAAATAATTGTTTGTACGGAAAATAAGGGCCTGCATACATCAAATTGTCTTTAAATTAAGTGGCGGCAGAAGAATTATCGTTGAACTCTTACAAGATAAGATTAAATATTAATGCTTAAATGCAGGAGTCAATTTTGAGTTCTTCTGTAGTTTATTATTGCCTATCACATCAACTCCTCCCTATCTATTGTGATGAAGGCCCAATCATGAGCCCTTTGGAGAAGTTAGCTTAAATGCCACCCAATAGGGCAGTTTTTAAACTCTGTGTGTGTGTGTGTGTGTGTGTATGTGTATATATATATATATATATATATATATATATATATATATATATATATGGGCGCATGGCTGTGTGGTTAGAATGTTCGCTTTCTGACCCTGAAACCTGGGTTCGAATCTCACCATGGTTGATTTGTCAGGAAGAGGACTTCCTGGTGCTATCAGTCCTCAATGATCCCAGTGTGCGGCACCTTTTGAAAAGTGCCTGAAAACCATACCGTGGGTTGACCAAAGCCTTGTGAGTGAAATTGGGTAGACAGAACACTTGGGGGACTCTTGATAGGGTTTGAGTGTGTTGGCCTTGTTCAGATTGTTGATCATGCTAGATAACACACTCTTCCCCAGAAACTGTAACTAAGGTCTGTTCAGCATAGTTGCAGTATAAACCACAGTTGGGCTCTGTAGGTGTTGAACAAACACAAATGTGCCTGAACAAGCGTCTGAATTAGAGATTGGCTAGCCACTCTAGTAAACAGGTATCCTCGAATACAAGTGGCCAGCTATTTTATTATATGTATATATATATATAGTGGTGGTGGTTGCTGGACACTCATATCTGACTATGCCTGTCTATGTGGGTGGCTAGTCAATCCCTGTTGCAGACACCTGCTCAGGCACATTTATGTTTGTTCAACACCCCCAGATCCCACCTGCTTATGATGACTTGTTATTTTGTGTCAACACAACCATCAACATCTCCCAAATAGTTCTGCCTACTCAATTTCATTCCTATGGCTTTGGTCAACCTGTGGTATGGTTTTCAGGCATTTTTCAAAGGTGGCACAAGCTGGAATCTCCCCTCCCTGACTGATTACATCAAGTCACCTTTCTGATAAATCGACCATGATAAAATTCAAAACCTGGTCTCATGGTGAGAAAGTGAATGTTCTAACTTCTCTGGCAAGGGGAAAATTGCCCTTTAAGTATAGGTTAAATAGTAGTATAGAATGTGCTTTGTTAGCAACCATTCTAGGAGAATGACAACTATGAATTCAAAACTGAGGAGGGTCATTTAGAGCGTTTGTGGCATACTATGTCCACTAGTATTTTGATTCTTTTGAAAAGTGTTGATTCTTCTGTCCAAACCTTCACCACTATAATCAAATCATATGTGCAGGTAGCCTGGCTGTTTGGTTCCAAAAAGTGAGAGCTACTGGACCCTCCTACAAGGATAACAATGGGAAAGTCCATTATTATTTTTTTTTTTTTAATGAGAATCATCCCAAGCAAGGTAGTAATGCCACTAAAACATGCGGGAGGGGGGGGGGGTTACAGTGTGTTGAAGAATTAAGAACAGAAATATTAATGAGCAGAAAGAGAAGAGAGTAATTAGGTGGGTGCGATTGCATTTAAATTTTTGCAGATTAAAGTTGGCTAAAAAGCAAAGAGCTGGAAGTGAGTTCCACAAGCAAGAAGTGCAAGAGAAGAAACTGTTAGCATAGAATTTACAGCTACATCTAGCCAGCTTAACTGTAAATTAATGAGATCTCTATGCCAGTCTAGTGCTGCGCTTAAATCCAAAAGTACTAGTTGCCATAACAATGAACTCATTCAAACAATTACCATGAAATTATTCATAGAAAAGACACAGGCAACCTTACAGTGGTGGTGGGGGGAAAGTGACTGGAGCTGAGCTGCCAGATCAGGACCAGGAATATTGCTGATTCTTCTTTGGATTTTATTAAGGAGCTCAAGGTAAATAACCAGAGCACTCGACTATATATGGCAGCAATATTCTAAGCACAAACAAAAAGTAGACTTATAATTATGTAAGATAGATTTGGAAGAGAAAAATTGTCCCGACCAACATAGCCTGAATTTTCTTAACAGCTGACCTAGCAATGGATTCAATATAGTCTTTCAACTTCATGTCAGGTAAGAACGTGAGCTCGAGAAGGCATGTCACTTTTCTGGAGGATAACATCAGCCATGCTGATGGAAGGCAGCAAGATCTCTCTCAGATGATTAATGGAGAGGTTTAGTTTTGGAGGTGTTAAAATTAACAAGCCATCTTTTGCCCCAGTTAACGACAGACTTGAGGTTGTTTTAGACATCAGCTGCCATTTTGACCTTGTCAGACTGATAAGCCTTATTATCGAGGCAGGAGTAAATGGTTGTGTCATCAGTGTAGATACCAAGTTGAGAGCTGATGTCATCAGGAATGTTATTAAAGAAAATTAAAAATTGAGTAGGACTAAGAGGCCTAAGGGACACCTGCATTAGTACAAAAGGATCTAGACGAGTGGCCGTTCAGGATAACTCTCATTTCATGATTTGACAGGAAAAACTGAATCAGTTCAAAAAAGTGGAGAAGACCTGAATGCCTGACCCTGTCAAAGGCTTTTGAGATGTCCAATGCAACATTTTTATCATTTTTTAAAAAAATTTTTTAGCCGGATAAACTCTTTCCGCAAATATCATCAGTACATCAGCAGTTGACATGGAGAAACAAAAGGCTTATTGTTTGTGTGAGAAAAAGGCCCTGCAATGATAGATGATTAACTAATTCAGCATTGATTAGGGCCTCTAGTAGTTTCCCAAAAAGAGATAGAAGTCTAATAGCTGGATAGTTGGAAAGGTCAGATGGCTCACCAGAGTTCTTCAAAACTGGAACAACACACGATGACTTCCAAAAGCCAAGAAAGCAGGAGACAGCAAAGAGTTAATGCTGAACCAAAAGAAATACTTTGTGTCTCATGTCATTTGTGTATTTGTGTAAACTACATTTGCCTAAATTGTTTCTAAAAGTAACAACATTGAGAATCAAATTTGACTCAAAGAAAATGTAGATGGGATGGATGATAGAATAAAATGTGCCTTAGGATAGGAAATGTGTTTTTGAAAAAATAAGAAGAATGTTATTTTTAAAGTTTGAAGCCTAATAATGACCTGTAGCTCAAGTTTTTTGTATGTGTGAAAAAATGAAATATATTAAAACTTATTTGGCTTTTATTTAAGTACCTCCACTTTTTCACTGAAAAAACAGCATGGCATGATGAAAAATGTCCCCAAACTTAATAAAAACAAAGTTTTATCGTCAAAACATTTGTTATTATTAAGAGGAAAGACCAAAGTATTTTTATTAATTAATTATTTTTAATACTTTCTAGCACATTTGATTATTTTTTTTTGTTTGTTTGTTTGTGTGTGTGTGTGTGTGTGTGTTAGCTGTTGATATTTATGATTAATGTTTCAGCACCTTTTTTTTTTTTTTTTTTTTTTTTTTCAGGTGAAAAACACAATGAGTTGGAAATTTTTGCAAAAATCAAATGATTGTTGAATTTTTATGAAACTTTCAGGACTTATTCACAAATAAATTAAATTATTTTTTAAATTATTTTTTGGGAAAATCTTGGTAAATTTTTTTTTTTTTCCCCATATGTTACCCCCACTTAATTACATGAAATTTTGAGAAAATAAATTTGGATCATAAAAATTTTATTAGTTACAAGCAAGACTTTTTGGAGAATGTAAATCTTCAATTTTTTCTTCAAACCACTACTTATTTTCTGAAAATCTGCTCCACAATCGTAAAATAAAAAATGCAATAAAACTGACACTATTTAATTAGAATAGCTTTTAATTGCTTTTATAAATAAGATTTATTAAGGAAATTGTTATAAGAAAATTTTTTTTTTTTTTTTTTTTTTAATGAATAATGAATTTTTACAGGAATTGTTTCCATTTTTTTTTTTTTTTTTTATATAATAATTATAATTTTATAAAAAGTTTCTAAATTCTGAATTAGTTTAATCTCGTTAGGTGGTATTGTTATTCAGTTAAAACTATATTTACTAATCCAAAATTGAAAAGGTTAATACAAATCATTTTGCACCAAGATTATTATGCACCACATTTAAAAAATTATTTTTAATTTTTTTTTTATGTATATAAAATATATATTATGTCATGTGCCCATTTTTGAAAATATGGTCAATCATACACAACATTTATCAGAAAATAAGAGCAATGACTAGTAAATTTAAAGTCAACATTGCTAAAATTAGATTACAGAGAATATTTTCTAACATTTTTAAATTTACTGAGTACTTTATATAAAAAAAATGGCGCTCACATTTTATTAAATTATGTTTTGCAGACGTTCTCAAAAGTCTGTCATTGCATCGTCAATTACGTAAAACATGGTGATGTTGGTTAAAAACACAAATACCGTTTGTTTTAAAAAGGCATTTCTGTGTTATTTTAGACAAAGTAAATATGACTAGTAAATTTAAAGTCAACATTACGGATTATGGAGAATATTTTTTCAAATCAGATTAATTATACATTAAATCGGTTAATATTCCTCAAATGAAGTTTCAGAAAACTATGTTTTATTTTTGGTATATTTTTTTTTAACATGGAAAAGAGATTTTATCAGATATTTTAGAAAAAAACAAAGAAAATGGATTTCAATCAATATAATTTTTGTTGGAAATACACCAGAGTATTTTGCTTACTGGAAATAGTAAATTTAATCCTTTAGCTTTCAATTAAAGCTAAAATGAAAGCTTCAAGAAAGCTTTTTCATTTATAAAAATTCATTTTAGTCCTTAGGTATTGTGAATTAGTGGACGTACTTACTTTTATTGCTTGACTTTATATTAAAAGTTCAGTCTGGCAACCCTGTTCCTTTTTTACTTTTGCATTTCTGCCATAGATGGCCAGAAAATGTCCAAATATGTGAATGACTTCTAGATATTTGGCTAGATGGTATCAAATTTGTGAACTTGATTAAAAAAAATGAAAAATGTTCCCAGACTGATTCCCTCTCTGCAGTGTTGTCAAATGTGAAAGATGTTTTATTTCCATTGAAACTGTAGATTTTTGTGTCTATTTTGAAAGACATTGACCCATTTCTGATAAAATATCAGAACGATAAACTGTTGTTTCCTTTCCTTGCAAATGATCTTTTAAACATGATCATGAAACTGTTGAGAGTTGCAAAGGAAGAGCACACTAAAAACATAATTACCTTTTCAAAACTGAATAAATTTGTAAGAATTTATCAAACCCAAACATGCATAAAGATGCTGCTAAGATTGAGTATGGATTAATGCAGGTAGGGCTATGCAAAATTTATCCAAAAATGGAAATGTGCCAACAAAAGATCTGTTTGTCTTTGTTGCAATTCTGCATGCAATGTTCAACACTGTCATTGAGAAACTTCTGGCAAAGTCTCCCCTTACATATCCTCTTGCATGGCTGAAAATTAGCAAGAGACAAATTCATAGAGATCAAAATTGGAAGAGGAGCTGAATGCTAAACTAGATGAACTGAAAAAAATGTTAACATCATTGTGTTCTGTGCCATTATATATATATATATATATATATAATATATATATATATATATATATATATATATAAGTGGAGGCTCTAAATCATCAATGTTTGTCATGTTCATTATAATCTTTAACAAAATATACTATTGGTATAGTGGAATAATGGATAGTGGCTGGGATTGATGAATTGGTGAGCTGAGTTTGAATTCCAGTCAAATCCATTACATTCACTTATGTGCTAATACTCTTGGGAAAGGTATGAATCCTCTTCTTCTCCTCCCCCTCCCCCCAGCAATGGGTAAATAGCAGGGCAGACCAGATTCTATAGTCTTGGATGGCAACTGGTCTACTGTGGGGAAATATCTGCCTCGTCAGTCATGTATCAAAAGATACATAATTTCCGTAAACATGTATCACTTATGGCACGTAATTGACTAATTGGTATAACTTAGATGCTAAAATGATTCCTTGACTCTAAATAAAATACATAATTTTTTAAAATCTCTGCATGAAATTAAAAAATTTTTTTTTATATTTTAATGTTAATTGTAATAATTCTATAAAAATAAACATTTATTTAAAAAATTCTTCCAGATATGTAAGAAAAAAGATTGAAAACAAAGCCAGACATTTTTTTTTTTTTAAATAACGGATGTATCTATCTTGTGTGTGTGTTTGTATTTATGTACCTCTCTGTGAATTTTATTGTATGTTTGTGATCCATACTGCTATCATATTTCCTCAACACTACCCTAGTCACACCCCTCACTCCAACCCTCCAGTCGACAAGTTAAGGCTGCCACTTTGATTATCACCAAATTTAAGCTTGCGCTAAATTTAACTTTCCCTTTCTCAAAAGATACATTCCACTAAAAAACCTTATACTGTACAGAATAAATTATTTAAAATGGGCATTTAAAAAGAGTAAGTTGAAATAAAAATGTCTTCTTTAAAAAACGGAGCATATAAGTCATTAGAGATTCTTAAAAGATTTTTTATAAAATTAAAGCAAGAAATGCATTGCCTATTAAGTACGTCTCCAGCTTCGATCTGGTTCAGACCTACTCATTGCAGCCAGCTACGTAAATTTTATTTCATTCTTTTTTCACTTACTTACTTTCTTTGCTTTTCTTTTTTTTTCTCTCTTCTTTCTTTTGGACAATTTCAATGAAATGTATTTCAGTCAATATTTTGAGACCCAAAATTAAAACAATAAATTTTAGTTCCAGCTGAAGTCACAAATAAAAACAACCCACTACAAAAAACAGATACACTTGAACGTTAACTCACTCAGACTCAGCTCAACAAGCCCAATTCTTTGAAGTTGCAACTAATATATAAATATATGAATTGTAAATTTATTAGCCAAATCTCCTGACAAATGGTTTTAATTTCCATAAAATGAGAATAATGAAAAATTAATTTGATTTATTACAGTTAATGCTTTTTCTGTTGAACATTATAATTACTAAAACTGTTATCAGTAAAAGAAAAATGAAATTACCTTTCAGAAATACCCTGGGCAATCTTAATTCCAGTAGATTCTCTTAGCTCCCCTGTTGTTCATATATGGTCTCTTTGTCATCAATTAGTTGTAATTAGGCATCAAGCTGTCTAAAGGTCATTGCCACCACACACCATGAAAAGATAGTCCCTAGTCATATGTTGATACACTTCAGAGACCAGGTTCAATGAAAACTCGGTTTTGATAAATGCTAAATTATCTTTATATTATTAGGGTACTCGAGATTTCAACCCTCAACAGATGGCCATTCGTGAAGAAGTGTTTAATAAAATCATAGATTGTTTTAAACAACATGGAGCAGAAACGATAGACACACCAGTTTTTGAACTGAAGGTGAGTGCTTTTTCCTACTCTCCTAATTTTTATTTCTTTTTCAGTGTCAATAAAAATTGACGGGGTTGTTTTCTCTGCAGTTTATTATTGCTATAAACTAGTGATTCTCAGCTACCGTGTCACGGCATACTAGTGTACTGCAAAATATTGTCATGGCAGACACACATGTGGAAGTAGTAATGATACAGCATTAGTATTTGAATAAATGAATAAGTATTAAACTTTTATTTCAAATAATTCTTTTTACTATTCTTCAATTATGTTATTTTAAATACTTTGTTTTAATATTCATTAAGAAGAAATGAAGATCTGCTTATCGCACATTCAACCAAACATTGAAGAAATCACAAAAAAAAAAAAAAAAAAACAGGCGCAGGTTTCACACTAAATAAACTTCACAAATAGATAAATAGAAACAATGAAATAAAGCCAGTTCACATTTGTGTTTGTATTTTTTTTAAAATCTATAGTTTTATTTCATGATATTTAAATGTATACCCTTTAAAAAATTTGCTAAGTGTGCCATGATATTTTAATTTGCTCCTAGGCGGGACATTGCTTAAAAAGGTTGAGAAACACTACTATAAACAGAGGTTAATCCAGATTCTCCTGGCATCACTTTACTGACGTTTCCTAACATGTTTCAGTAAAATATTCTCTTTCCAAAATTATAGTTTACTTGAAATATCCATGAAAATTTCAGTTTTCCTATTTAAATTTTCTGATGGTTTGTGATTTGATTTTACAGCAATTGGTTATTTAATGCCAACTTGATTTTTATGATATGTTTGTATGAATAAAATATATATTCGTTGTAAGAAATCAGTTTGTAGGAGATCAAGTTTCATTGACACATTTTTGTAAAGGGTTTTTTTGTTGAGAGTCAAGTGTATTGCTTGTAATTTTTTTTATTTTCTTCCCCCTCCCAAATATTCTATTGCTGGTAATTTTACTATAAAAATCTATTTCTATACTTTCATAGTGTTTTGACACTAGTTTGGAATTAACTATTTACCGATATCTGGGACCGTGACAGGTGCTACCACTCCAGGTCAGGATGGACCCGTGAACAGCCTCTGAGAGGTGGTTCTATGCTCCTCAAAACCTTCAGATCAGAAGCTTTGCTGCTGGATGTAGTTTATTGTCATACCCAGTACAGTTGAATTTTCTCATGAATCATGATTCTTGTATTCAATAATTAACTTATAGAGTTCTTGTCGTAGAACTCACTATGAGCTTATTCAATCATTAACTTAAGAATTATGATTCATCAGAAAATTCAAATAGGAAAACCATAAAATTTTCATGGGTAGTGATCGTTTTATTATTATTAATTTTAGTCCATCTTATTAACTTTTATCACAATTATCTACCTTGATATATAAATTATTATAAACTAGTTTTAATTTGTGAAAATTTCACGATTTTCCTATTTTAATTTAATATTATGATGAATCTTAATTCTTAATGATTAAGCTCATGGCACATTCTCTGACAATAAAATATCTGTAGAAATTCCCTTATTGCATCGTCAAATATTTGAACAATGACTTTAACAAAATATTTTAATAATAATCATGAATATCAATGCCTGTCATTAATTTGAGAAGTAAGGGGGTACAAATGAAATTGACAACTTTTTCCATTTCACTAAAACAGATGTTAAACACCCTTTCTTTCTTTCTTTCTTTCTTTTTAATTGAGCTCTTTATAGCATAATTACAATTATATTTTTTCATAATTATATCTTCTTGACAACAGGACTAGCAATACAATAGTAATGACAAGGCGTAATGGTCGTGTGAACTAAGTAAGGAACTAAATAAAGAAGGGAAGGTATGACCTTCCTATTTAAAATTTCTGATGAATCTTAATTCTTCAGTTAATGATTATATGAGCTCATGGCACATTCTATGACAATAAAATATCCATAGAAATTCTCCTATTGCATCGTTAAATATTTTAAGCTTAACAACTTTAACAAAATATTGCAATAATAATCATAAATATGATTTCTGGTGGAAATGAAATTGACAACCTTTTCCATTTCACTGAAACAACCATTAAACACTTCTATCTTCCTGTCTTTCTTTCAGTCATTCATTTTCTCACTGAAACCAAGTAGTGTTTTTCCCCCTCTTTCCATGTGATCACAATGGAATAGTCCATTATTTATGAGGTATTAGCAAGGTGTGAACTAACAAAAGGAGGGACAAGCACAATTAATTATAATGGCTTTTTGTATCCACATATGCCTGTCTACTAGGATGCCTGCTTAGGCACATTTGTGTTTGTTCAACACCCACAGAGCCCACCCATAGTTTATACTGCAACTATGCTGTGAGTGAACTTACAGTTTCTGTGAGAAAACATTATGTGGTTTGATTGACAGTCTGAAGGCCAGCATACTCCCAAAACTTCTGTCACAATGACTTTATTGCTAGCACAACCATTGACTGCTCCCAAATAGTTCATGCACTTTCCAAAGGTGCCACCCACTGTGATCATCTCTCCTAGACTGATAATATCAAGAGATTATTTTTCCTGACAAACCAACTCCTGTGAGATTTGAATCTGGGTCTCATGGTTAGAAAGTGAACATTCTAACAACTTAGGCCCCATACCCACACAATTATAATAAGATATATATGTAAATACACAGTAAAACCATGTCAGTTTTGAATCATTTCGATTGTACCTTCTTACTTCTTCTATTCTGGATTCCCTGTGTTGTAATGGATAGTGGTTCGGAATGAGAAATCAGGGAGTCGAGTTTGAATTCCAGTTGAGTTTCTTGCATTCACTTACATGCGATTACCCTTGGAAAGGTATAAATCCATCTTTTCTTTCCCTTCAACTATGGGTGTATATCAGGACATACTGAACCCCTATAGCCTTGGTTGTCATACAGTCTAGGAGAGGGAAAAACACTGAATTCAAATCAATTGGAAGTATCCATCAGCCTATCTTGTCCAAGACATACCACTGCTACTACAGCTGCAGTATGACTCATACGGGTTTTGGGACTCAAGAAGTTCTTATATAATGACCTGCAATATTTTGTTAAAGTTGTTAAGCTCAGACTTTAATGATGAAATAAATGAAATTTCACTGGTTATTTTATAGTTCTAGAAGATTGCAAAATACATACTAAATCAAGCATGTGCAACCTTTTCTGACCAGTGGGTCACATCAGATATAGCTCATCATAAGGCTCTACTAAAAAAAGATTCAAGGTAATTTTTTGTTGAAGGTGCTTCAGCCATTTTCACTACAGATGAACCGACTTGTTTTTTAGATTTTTTTTTAATCTTTTCACCCCCAAGCAAGGCGGCAATGCCACTAGTACACAGGGTGGTTACAGGGAGTGAAAATGAAAGTGAAAGAGAAAACTGAGAATAGGGAGGATTGAGAAAAGGACAAAAGATGAATGGGATACAAGACAGAAGATGGTGATTGACATTACATTTAAATTTTTGAAGATTGTAGTTATCAGGGAGGCAAGTAAACAGAAGTGTGCTCCACAGGCAGGAAGTGTGAGAAAAACTGTTGGAGTAGAAGGCACAGTTGCATTTAGCTATTTCAACAGTAAACAAGTGGGGCCTAGATGTCAACCTAGTAGCATGCTTAAATTCATGTACTCGGGGCACCAGGGAACAAATATCATCAGAGCAGTTGCCATGAAAATATTTTTAGAAAAGACAGAGGGAAGCCACATCGTGTCAGTGAGAATGTGACTGAAATCAAGTTGCCAAGTCAGGATTGATTATATTGCAGATCCTTCTTTAACCTGCAATGGGTTGATAAGCCATAAAAAATGAATCAATCAATATTTTGTTGACCCCCCTCCCCCCGCCAGCTGCATCGACCCAAAGGCTGCTGCAGTTAATTCTTGTAAGAAATGTTTTAGCAGTTGCAAAATTCATAAACTGAAATTGATTCATGAGTGCCACCATCCTGATCCTTTCACCTGATCACCCCTAAAAAAAAGATGCGTATTACATCATTTTAACTCATTGGATATTCAAAATGAAACTTGGATAAAATCTTTTAATGGATATGTTTCATGCACAAGATAAGCATTTTTGTAAGTGTCAGTAATTCTCTACCTTGAGTGGATCTTGGGCCTTGTATTAGATGAACATTAGTCAAAAAAAAAGTTAAAAAACTTTCTTGATTTTTCTTTTTAATTTTATTTGTACAAGTGCTAAATGATAGTCATTATTTTTTCTTCTAAATTTTATATGAATAGTGCAGAGAAAATAAACATTTTTTTTATGTGAGAATGTAACAAACCAACACTGATAATTATCATGATTTTTTTAACTTAAAAATCCAGTCCTGTTTAAGTCATTACCTCCTCACCATGGGAGTAAAGGGCTGATTTATGTTGCACTAGTTAGTGTTACTAACATCTCCATTAAAAAGTCAATGGTGGCACTAGTAGTTTTCTTTCTCCCTTCTGAAGATCTAAGTTCCTTTTCTCACAGAATATGCCTGGAAAAGTCTTAAGAAGTCAGCCAAAACATTATGTGAACAACTGTAACCCCATAAAGTAAGTGTTCAATTGTGTAAACAAGTGGTTCCCAAAATTTTTTATCTGGGCCACATTTTTGGAATGAAAATTTTCTCTGTGATAAAAAGTACATTTAAAAATAAAGAAAAAAAGAGATAGGATTAAAATGAGATAACTGCATATACGAGGTCAAAACATTATGATTGATAACTCTCTCCTCCAATTTGCAAACTCTAGTTACTATATTATGCAAAAATATCACAATGATAAAATTGGTCACTAATTATAACTATTTATACTGGGACTTATGTATGCAATTACAACTCATCCATAATAATATTTAAAATTTTTAATTCATATTTATTTGTAGTGTATGAATTTTTTGAAACTGTTTCTAAATTTTCGATTGTCTTTCAATCATTCCACTTCACTTGCTATCCTCTTCCACCGCACCTGAGGCATGCTGCATCATTTGTGAACCACTGTTGTAAATATTTAGGATGTAATTTTGTTGTCAACCTATTAATCTCCAGCCACTCATTTCTATGTACTCATCTGCTAGGACAGCTAATCAATCCCTGTTGCAGACACCTACTCCAGCACATTTAAATTTGTTCAGAATTCACCTGTGGTTTATACAACAACTATACTAAATGGACCTTAGTTTCTGAGACAGATCATGATCACCCATTTTGAATAAGACCATTTCATTCTAGCACAAACATTGACGACTTCCAAACAGTTTGGTCTGCCCAATTTCACTGGAAAACCTTGAGTCCACCCACATGTCATAGTTTTCAGCTATTCTTACAATGGTGCTGCACAATGGGATTGCCTCCCCCAAAGTTGATAATTTCAAGAAGAGTCACCCACTCTAACAAATCATCTATGGTAAGATTTGAACCTGCGTCTGATAGTCATAAAGCAAACGTTCTAACCACTGGGCCATGCACCTCTATAGTCAACCTATTATCACACTGAAAATAAATGGCTTTTCATGTTTTTATTTCAGGAAACATTGACAGGGAAATATGGAGAAGATTCTAAACTCATTTATGATCTTGCTGACCAAGGAGGAGAGATGTTGTCTCTCCGCTACGATCTTACTGTATCCTTTTTCAAAAAAAGCTGTAATATTTGAGCTTCATTAACCCTAATCCAGTTTCCCTCTGCAGTTATGATATATATTAGAATACCCTCTAGATTTTATCAGTATGTGATTTTAATGTGGCCATAATAAACTACTATGACAATTATTACTAAAAATATATTTTTTACTAGATTAGTTTTCATACGATTTAGTTGTTTGGAAAATAATCTCCATTTTTAGAATAAACCTTTTAATTGTGTTCTAAAATATTATTATAATAGTTGCACAAAAATATATTATGCATTCCTAATGATTAATGTGTTGTCTTTGTTAATTTTAGAGCAATCTCCTTCAGAATTTAACTTAAAAAATTATATAGCACTAATCTTGAACATGAAAAAAAAAAAGAAAGATGCATTTACTTTTTTTTGCATGAGCTCAAGCTTGCTTATAATGCTTCCCAAACTTGGACACTTTCCATGTGGTGTAATGGTTAACAATCTTGCCTCTCTAGATCAATTATGAGAAAATAATGAGTTCTATCCTCACTGAGTGCTCCATACTTTTGGCTTTGTCACATCTAAGCAACACTTAGATAATCACCATAATGCTTCTTAAACTGATATCAACATTAACAAAGCATGAGATGAAGGGTCCACACTGCTGTGCTGGTTTATGAAGTTCCGCAGTAGGGATATGAGTCTTGCAGATCAAGGTTGTAGAAAGTGTCTATCTGCAATTGACTATCAGCATCTGAAAACACTTGTCAAACAAAACCCTCATCAAATGTCTCAGATAATGAGTGTCACCATTTCAACAATATCAGAACATCTCAAGAAAATTGGCATGGTGAGGAAATTTGATAAATGGGTTCCACATGAACTCTGGGAAAGTCAGAGTTCATCGTTTCGAAGTTTGTTTGATGCTGAATCTCCAAAATTCGAATGATCCATTTCTTGTCAATTAATGACTTGTGATGAGAAATGGAGTCTTTATGACAATTGTAAGTTCTCAGCTCAATGGCTTGATCATGACAAAGGAACCAAACAATTTCTGAAACCTAAATTAAACCAAAAAAAAAGATTATGATGACAAAGGCAATTTTGACTGTCTACAAATTCCTTTTCCTTATTATTCACTATCCATGACATGTTGCAAAAGATAATGGAATAGTTTCCTGTTGCTATCTCCATATTGCAGCATACAGTTTTCCTTCTCTTAAACTGGTTGCCAGCCAGGGCTAGAGACCAGTCTGCTCTGTTATTTAACCCCTAGCTGGGAGGAGAAGAGATGGATTCATATCTTTCCCAAGAATATTAGTGTGAAAATGAATGCAACAGATTAGACTGATATTTTAACTTGTCTCGCCAATTTCACTTTATGCTACTTGCATGTTCTTAAATATGTTAAAATTCACCATGGAATTTCTACAGGTTAATTTAATGTGGAAAAAAAATGACATACATATATATATATATATATATATATATATATATATATATATATATATATATATATATAAAAGACATTTTTATGTTTAACATACTTTTTTTTATAAATACAAGTATTTAAGTAAATGCTCTGTTTATAATAAACAGTATTAAATAACATTTACCGCCTGAATGTCCGAGAAATTTTCATAGAAAATATTCGTCCTTTGACAGGATTCGAACCTGCATCCTATACGGAACCATCATTTACGCTGATGTGCCTTACCAATCGGCCACAAAGGAGCGTTCAGTAGACAAGGTCGAATTTACTGCTTATAAACTTCAATCTACCAAATGCTCCTTTGTGGCTGATCGGTAAGGCACGTCAGCGTAAATGACGGTTCCGTATAGGATGCAGGTTCGAATCTTGTCAAAGGACAAATATTTTCTCTGAAAATTTCTCGGACATTCAGGCCAGTAAATGTTATTTAATACTGTTTATTATAAACAGAGCATTTACTTAAATACTTGTATCTATAAAAAAGAACGTTAAACATAAAAATGTCTTTAATAAATAAATTAATAGGACTTTGTCCATTTCTTAATATATATATATATATATATATATATATATATATATATATATATATATATATATATATAAAATGGACAAAGTCCCATAATTATTTTAAGATTTTTTTTTTATGTTTATACGTTCTTTTTATAGATACAAATAGTTAAGTAAATGCTCTGTTTATAATAAACAGTATTAATGACATTTACTGGCCTGAATATCGAAGAAATTTTAATAGAAAATATGTGTCCTTCGACAGGAATCGAACCTGTATCCTATAAGGCACAGTCATATAGCCTGTCATACTTTACCGATTTAGCCACAGAGAAGCATTTCGGTTAGCAAGGTCGATTTTACTGTTTTTTATTATAAACAGATCATTTACTTAAATATTTGTATCCATAAAAAGAACATATAAACATAAAAAATGTCTTTATATATATATATATATATATATATAATTTTTTTTTTTTTTTTTTTTTTTCTGAACAAATTTTACATATTTTGACAACCTTTAATAGCAATGTAATATTTTCTGAAGTTAGAATCGTCATCAATAAAACTAAGGGTTGAAACTAGGAATTTAAAATATATTAAATGGGGAAAAAATTTGTGGCACAATTTACATCCCAAAAACTGATCAAATAATGAAGAACAATTTTTCTCAACCCGACTTCTTTGTAGGGCTAAGAACTTTTCAAGCAGAAATACTTTGGCTGTCACACATCTTGGCAGGCTCGGGAATTAATATTTTCAGGAATATTTTTTTTTTGTTCAGCCTCAAGTTCTTTCTTTAACTATGTATAGGTTCCTTTTGCTCGATACTTAGCAATGAACAAAATCACCAACATTAAACGATACCAAATTGCCAAAGTCTATCGACGTGACCAACCAGCAATGACGAGAGGACGTTTCCGAGAATTCTACCAATGTGTAAGTAACTTTCTCTTTAGTAATTACTGAAGAAGTAATTGATAAAAAATGATAACAATCTGTTGGATTAATAAATAAAAAAATTTATTAATCTGACAGATTTTTATCACTTTAAACGTTACTTTAGTGGATACCCATATTTGAGTAGATGCTCCATTGATTTTAAACAGTATATTTATTTTTGTCTACTAGCCTGAATTATTCGAAAAATCTTATTAAAGAAAAAAGATGCTCTCTCTGGCAGGATTTGAACCTTTGTCCCCCTTTATAGGGAAAACTGCCATTAGATCCAGCATGCTTTCAACTGACTCTACTACAAATCTTGTCACCAAGCAAATAAGACTAAGTACTGCCCTTAAGCACAAATCCTTCTTGTCTCAGATTCTCAAAAGTTCATATCTTCACTTTTATATCCAAACATAAAGCAATTTCTCAAGAAGTATTGGATTTTTTTATTTATTAATCCAACAGATTTTTATCATTTTCAATGTTATTTTTAGTGGATACTCATATTTGAGTAGATCGGATCGAACACTGCCATGTCCTCAAAGGAGGACACAAGTGGTGCATGTGTTTCTTTAATAGGATTTCTCAAATATTCAGGCCAGTAGATGAAAATAAATATACCGATTAAAATAAACTGAGCATCTACTCAAATAGGAATTTAAATAATTTTGGTGAAGACTGGTGTCTTCGTTTTTTTTTTTTTTTTTTTTTTTTAGCAAAGCATCCATGTTGTGATACTCTTATTTTCACCATATTCAAAAATGCTGTTGTTTTCAGCCATTTCAAGCATTTTTCTAATCTTGGTGACAGTATTTAAAGAGTAATATCTCATCATCATCATCATCCACTTTTGTAATCGTAGGGGGGATCCAAATGTAGAAGCCACACTAAATCTTCTCCATGATGGTCTATCAACGGCAGCCATCAGCTATTCTGGTATAGTCATTGTTTGACATTGTCCAACCAGTTTTTGTGTTGGCATCCTGACCAACGTCCACCTTGTTGACAATTCACAAGAAAAAAAAAATAATGTATAAATTTTGATGCAACCAACCTGTTTTGCTGAATTTATGTGGTGAGAGCAAATACAAGAAATGCCTGGAAAATATATTTTTTTCAAAATTTATAATTATTTACGCATCAATATATATTTATTTAAGTTATTTCTTTATAATACAGCAAATAATAGATATTTTATTGTAGTTGGTTCACATCGTTTGAAATTATGAAATTATTCTCGTAAATAAATAATCTAATAATTAAATAGTGTTTAATATTTCTGTTGCCATTTCTTGTGAAAATGTATGAGATCTAGTTCCACATATTTGGGTTTTGTTAAAATTCTAAAAATAGCTTTTTTATAAATTAAAAATTACCAAAAGAGTAATTAGTGATATCAAGAGAAAAATTGTCCTTTTGACTTGCATTATTTTTTTATTTTAATTTTAATTTTTTGGGGATATGTTTGTTAAACTTTGCTGGAATAAGTTTGAAAATTTCTAAGTTTTCATTGAAAATCAAAGAAATATGAATTTTAAGTAAAATTGTCACAAGGAGAAGGCATCACTTTAAACCAATGCTTAGAGGTTATGGACTAAATGGGTGACCCTAAATAGAATGTGATATTTACTAATTAGGTTGCAAACTACTGTATAAACTAAATGGTAGATTACACACACCACTATCACTTAATTACTGTTTAACGTCGCAATCAAGAAGCCTTTTTGTTAACTCTCTTAAGCATAATATTTACAATTCTTATTAAAGAAAAATATCTCTGCAAATTTTTTTTTAAAACCAATTTATAAATAAATTCCGTCATTGTTACAATAAGTACAAAAAGTTTCATTAAATTTCAATAATCAAATTTGCATAGATTATTTTTAAAATACAGGCACCCTTTTTTTGTTTTTTTTATTTGAAAATTGGCAAAATTGCAATAAAAAATGAAACTGTTTGGTTTGTTTTATGGTATATCAACCTCAATGGCTTATTTAATGCTGACATGATTTTTATTGCTGGTAATATTTTTCCAAACATTTATTGCTGGTAATGATTTTTTTCTTCAAAATTCATTGCTAGTAATAATTTTTTACAAAAATGTATTGCTGGTACTAAAACCTATTTTTACACTTTCATAGTGTTTCGACCCCAGTTTGAGGGTTAACTATTTACCCATAGCTTGAACCCTAACAGGTGCTACCACCCTAGGTCAAGGTGAACCTGGGAACACCAGCAATTGAGGCATGGTTCCATGTTTCTCAAAACCACCTGATCAGAGGCTTTGCTGCCAGATATAGTTTATCGTCTTACCCAGGAAGCAAATTTTTCTTGCAGTTGAATTTAATAGAATTTTTATAAATATGCATTTAATGGCTGGCTATGCATTTCATTAAGTTCCAATAATTAGCTGAATTTTTGTTTATTTTCCTTTCATAACTTTTGTCACTGAAAACAGTAATTTTAACATAAATATCTCTATTTCCTTATATTGGATATTTTTTTTTTTTTCTGTAAGAACCTTTTCTCTATTTTTTCTACTTATTTATTAAAATTGAATTTAATCAGTAATTTAAATTTTTTTGTTAATTTCACAAGGATTGGTGCAAATATTTATGCAGTCATCTTTGACTCTACTTTATATTGAGTGATTGAATATTTTTTTTCTTTTCTGTTTCTTTTTAGCATTAATCATAACTGTAAACATTTTTTTTCTACTTGTTTATAGGATATTGACATTGCTGGACAATATGATGCTATGATTCCTGATGCTGAATGTGTAAAGATGGTGTCTACAATTTTGAAAACTTTAGAACTTGGAGAATTTGAAATTAAAGTAAGCTAAATGATTTTACATTCTTAACAGTTTTATACTATCACCAAAAACATTTTTTTATATCATCTTTTATTTTTAATTTGTTTACTTAAAAAATTTTTTTAGTTATTTTATATGACAAACACATAGACATAGGTTCACCACACACAGTATATATATATATATATATATATAGAGAGAGAGAGAGAGAGAGAGGATTGGTGTAGATAAACTACATTCCAATAACCAAAATACTATTCTTAAGAGTGCTCAATACAGAGTAAAGCAGATATAATTTATTCAAAAATTATAACATAAACATGTTATAAAATCACTACAAAAATAACCATTTTGTTTCAATACTTCTGGTGTCTTATCAAGTGATGGTGTTGAATGTCTTGATAAGACACCAGAAGTATTGAAACAAAATGGTTATTTTTGTAGTGATTTTATAACATGTTTATGTTATAATTTTTGAATAAATAATATATATATAGTATGACAAATTGGGAAAAGTTTGTGCGACGTGTTCCATCCATTAGAATTTCATCCAGATGAACTAACGGATGAAACGCAGTACAAAAAGTTCTTCCCAATTTGTCATATTATTTTTCTAAATGCTGTTTGTTGATATATAAAATTATACAAAATCATATATATATATATATATATATATATATATATATATATAGAGAGAGATATATATATAGATATATAGAGAAAAGCTAGGGCAGCTAGCAAATCCCTATTAGACATCTACTCAATTCACAGGTCCCCACCTGTGGTTTATACACAACTATACTGAGCAGACTATAGTTAATTTTCTGTGAGCGAATAATCTGGCTTGAACAGTTTTTTTTTAACAAGGCCAGTACACTCAAACCCTAGGCCACAATGACTTATGACTCCCTGCTAGCACAACCATTGACGGCTTCCAAACCATATTCATTTGTGTTATAGCAATGTCAGTTTTACTATTTGAAAATTACTTGATATTTTTTCTCTCTTTCCCTCATTCAAGACTCCAACAAACTTGTTTGGCAGTTTAAATAAATTTTTATATTTTTATCAATTCTTCCTACATAACTGAAGATCATGTGACAAAGGTTTCATTTTATACACAAACTTCCGTCTAGCATTGGAAAACATTTTTCTAGAAGAATTTGTTGTGGCAAAATCATTGTTTTATCATTTCAACTATTTCCATGCTTTTATAAAAAAAAATAAGACACACCTAATCTACAATAAATATTGACTATTTTCACCAAGTTTCAAATCTGTACATAGCTTCTAACTACGAATGTCAGAAGATCATTGGAAGTGTTATTTAGCAAAAATGCAGAAAGATACAGTTCTAATATTTGGGATTTATGAATAAATTTGATCAAGGAACACCTTTGAATTTTCTCAGAACCACCTATGGCCTTTGGTTGATTTGAGATGGAATGAAAATTTCTTTCAATTTTATATATATCTCCATGTGAAATGAGAACGAATAGAATCCAATTCTTATGTTTGTAACACATTCAACTTAAAAGTGGGCTCAATACAAAAGTAGAGCAATATTCTTTATTTTAGGATATTACATCAAAAACATGTAAAAATGCTACACAAATGCAATCATAAGGTTTGGTGAATAACTGGTGAGTAGACAATTTATTGAGATTTAAAACCACATACAACCTCCTTTTCATGAGAAAAGAAAGAAAAGAAAAAAAGTAAGCAAGAAAGATACAAGAAACCCCCTCTTTTCCCAAGAAAAGGAAGAATAAAAAAATGAGTAAGAAAGAAAATGGAGGAGATAGCAGCAGGATTAGTTTTGTTTTTATTCAGATCAACCAATCAGAATGGCCTACGCTAAGTTCAAAGTGAAGGAAAAAATGAAGTTAAGAAGCAATCATACATAAGAGGTCATGACCCACAGATTTAGAATTGTAGACAACATCTGAATGTCATATTCAATACGGATGTAAATTTGCTACAAAGTTAGACATTGACACATGTCACTTTCTATAAGAGAAGAAACGTAATTTAACAAGATACTTGACACATTACATACCCTGTGAGTTAAAAAGTTAATTTCACATTTTTATAGTTTGTAAATAATATGGCCCTATAAGAAATAAAAGGAAAGTTAAAAACGAATATATTTAGAACAATTATTTAAGCATATAGATCATACAAAATATAATGTATCTGTTAAAGGATCTTTATATAGGGTGTTAATAAAACTGATCAATGCACAATGTCAAAATGTCAGCCAAATGCCAATTTCATCTATACTAAATATTACCACCACTACTAGAAGAATAATGTAAAATTGAAATTAAATGTTGAAATTGATCTTACTGATAGAAAGATAAGCCTTATATGGTACAACAACATTTAACTAAAATATAAGAAGCAGCAATTGTCAAATTTCAAAGTCTAGCAAAAGGTATGATATATCTATAATTAACCACTAATTCAAATCTTTGATTTAATAAATCATCCCTATTCAAGAACCTGATAATCTGCATTTTCTCTTGTAAACTCAGAAAACAAGGTTCATATAGGGATCTACATGTTCTTGCCAGTTTTAAAATTTTCCATTTGACTTTAGGAGTTTTATATTCATCTTTCAACCTCCAAAAATATTTTGAAAAGTGAAATATTATTTCTGCAAGTATTATTAGTAAAAGACAATATGTTTTGATACCACTGTTTTTTGAAAGAGTTCTTAGTATTACCAATATAGAACTTTTCAACTCTCGGATTTTTCCATTGTAGAGATAAAGATACACAAGGGATTTGGTTAAACATTTGTTTGACAATGGGCATTGATTAGGATTCCTACAATTACATTGGTCAGTATCCTTAACAATATTTTCATTGGTACTAGCCTTAAAATTGAAATTATTGAATTGATTTAGAGTTCTGTTGTCATGCAAATTTATGATTTTCTTGAGATTATTGGTGTAACTATAACTAAGTTTTAATGTATTTCCATTAAATATTTTACTAAGAGAGTTGCTTTTCAGAAAATGTTTATCAATCAATTTGAGAAACTTAGGACCTAACTTAGTACTAACTAATTGATTAAATATACGTGTATACCAGATGATCTTCTGGTTATGATTTCTTTTCTTTGAATTACAGTCATCATATTTTCTAAACTGAATATTGACGCACTTATACCTGATATTCTTTAGAACTTTCTTGTACACATTGCAATGTTTCTCAAACACTTCTTTTGTCTGATGAGTGGTTGCTGATCCTACGTTCTACAAAGGAAGAAATATGTTGGATTACAGATGGAGGATGAGTGGAATTGGGGTAAATATAGATTGGGTTGGCATTATTTTTCATATAAGGCTGAAAATTGTCATTAACTATGTCTAATGTTACATTAAGAAAATTAACTTGTTTAATATTAGCGCTTATTTTAACCTTAAGATCTAAACTTTTTAGTTCCCTATGAATCAATTTTCTTAGTTTATCTACTTTCATTTTTGTGGAGTTTTTTACAACCATAAGACCATCATCTCTATATAGCCCTATATTATCTAGATTGATGTTCTCATATCCATTAAGGTTATATAAAATATAAAAATCAATTAGATCAGAAGATGCAGCTGAATCCAATGACCCCATTGATATGTCAAAGTTATCATCAGAATTCTTATCCCACTGTTCTTTATTGCAGATGAGGACAGATCTCCTGCAGTTCGTTATAATATTAATCTCTTCATTTGAGATGTTGGAATATACTTTGGCAAATTCTAATGCCAGTGTGAAGAGGTCCTTGGATATGGAAGGGTAGAAATCAATGCTATCAAACTGGATAAAATTGCAGCTGTTTTTGTTGTTGATGCTTCTAAACTAGTTAATGACCTCCATGGTACCAATCCAATGAATAAGTCCAAGGCGTTTTTGACACATTCAAGGATAACTTTGCTTATCCTTCCAGTTTCTGATCCTTGTAGAAAGTTTGGTCTTGCACTCTGATTTATGGTCTTTAAGTAGGACATGAGATTCTTTAATGCAAAGTTTTCCAACCATATTGCTGATTTTTATCAGCAATAGAAGTCGTGTTGATTTGACAACATCTATCTTCTTGTAATTCATAGTTAATTTGTTTCCGATTAGTGCCATGTAATCCTTAGGATTGAATTTGTAATATATTTATGAAAACACTAGAATTTTTGGATGCTGAATTCAAACTCACCACTGGCACTGTTTCACTTGACTTGAAACTTAATACTACCCTCAAATATGTGAATACAAAGTTAAATCACCTAGTAAGTGTCAAGAGGGGATGAATGCAGAATCTCTCAAAATTCGTCAATTAAAGAGATTTTTCGCTGTAAAAAAAAAATGGTATATGAGAGGGCTTTGAGAGAGGAGCGGCATAATACCAACATAGCTTTCCTCACCCACACACTCGGCTTCTCTTTTTTTCTTTAAATGATTTCTGTAATTGGGACATTGCATATTAACTGTGTGGTCCTTCCAAAGATGGTCAGTCATAAAAATACTTTACTTATCCCATAATACTGTCACTATGACCCTTCTTGAAGACATTTGGGTCTTCAGTTTCTTTACCTTTGAAGAACCCAAATGCTCCCACTGCCTGAACTGTTGTTTGTTCTTCAGATCATAGTGGTGTAACCAGTGTTTCATCTATACTGATTACTTGTTCTCAGTCTTGGGTATGACGATAAACTACATCCAACAGCAAGGCTGGGTTTTGAAAAGTGTGGGACCACTTCTTAATTGCTGTTGTTCCCAGGTCTACCCTGACCTGGGGTGGTAGCACCTGTTAGGGTCCCAGCTATGGGCAAATAGTGAAACCCCCAACAAAAACAAAACACTATGAAAGTATAAAAACTACCAGCAATACAATTTTATAGAATTACCAACAATACATTTTAAAGCAAATTCACCAAAATTATCTGTAGTTGAAAGCATACAATTATGATTAAAATATATTTAGTTAAGCCATAAGATTGTGTTAAATTAAGTAACCCCTAGAAGTTGAT